ACTTTACATTTTCCTAGGTGCATACACATGAATCTAGATAAAAGTGCATATGTATATGTGTACAAGTGTTTATCTCAGCCTGTCGGCCTGAGGGAAGGCTTCCCAGAGCAAGATGCATATGAATTGAACTTTTTAGAAAGATGAACTTCTGAGCCAAAAAGGAGGAGTGAGTATATTCTAGGCACAGAAGATAACTTCTTTGAAGGAACAGGGGCAGGAAATGGAAGATCAAGTATAGGAGACAACTAGAAGTCCTTTCTGGTTAGCACATAGAGTACATGAAAGAGATTAATGGGAGATGAGGTTGGAAAAAAAGGTTGCATTGTGATTGTGGAACACTTTGAATGCCAAACTAAAGAGTTCACATTTTATCTTATAAGCAACAGGGAAGCTTCTTAAGGTTTTTGAGTACAACACAATTAGATGATTCATTTATAAAAATTATTTTGGCATCTCCTAAGAGAATAGATTAGAAAATGAGGAGCCTGGAGGCAGGGAAATTAATTAGGAAGGTATTCCTATAGTCCTAGAGAGGGAAATAAGTCCTGAACTGGAGTTTTGGCACTGTGAATACAAAGAAAGGAATGTACTTAATTAGGCTAATTGTTAAATTTTCAATGTATTTCCACCTTGGAAATTTGCAAACACTACAAATAAGGGATTGATTTATGGTTTTGTTGATTGTCTAGTCTTAAGAAAGTAAGGGAGAAACTGTTAAAAATGTAGATTAAACTGAAAATAGTGGTATGTACATTTTCACTTTCAGCTATCTGGTTGTTAAACATTCACCAGCACACTTCGGGATGCAAGAAATGTAGTGGAAATAGAACTAATGGGACTTGGTAACTGATTACATTTTGAGGGTGTGGGGAAAGTAAGGAAGAGGAAAGAGTCTAGGATGACTCAGCTAATTACAGCAATGGGTTATTGTTTGTCCTTTGTTCTAAAAGAGGATTTGCAAGTGAACTGGATTTAAGTGAGGGAGAGCTATGCAAAGTAACCAGTCTCACTTTCTCCTCCCGAGCCATCTGGGCTCTGTGGCAAGATATAGATAGAGACAACTGGAGATGGCTCTGGATGCAGTGGAAAACCTTGGCCTTTTTAAACTAAGGTCTTTAATAGGTCTCAGTTTGACTGAGGTAAAGCCCATTTAGTAATAAGACTAGGTAAGAAATGAAGGAAAAAATGGTCTCTTTACCTAGTTAAAAAAAAAAATTCATCTGGGAGGGGAAGACCCTCAGGGTTGCTGGCCAAAACAGAAACAACTGCCATTTACATTCACTCTAAGCCATCAGGGCCCAAACAAAAACCAGCTGGGGCTTGGGATGGGACCTACAGTTGGCCAACCAATGAGAGGCAGAGTGATGTGGGTTTGAGGCATGGTCCTTAAGAAAGAAATCTAGCTACGTTTCAGGCATCAAAATTTACATTCCTTTGGGCAGAGAACCCACAGGTAAGGGCAAGATACCCCATGAGGAGAGGAGAGGAGAGGTAGGAAGGGGAGGAGGCAGGAAGGGGAGGAGAGGATTTTTTTTTTTTGGCTGACAAAAATGATTATTTTTTAGCATTTGTTTTTTTTTTTAATCTTTAATGGTATTTTATTTTTATCTCCATTACATGTAAAGATAGTTTTCAACATTCATTTTTAATAAGATTTTGAGTTCCAAATTTTTCTCCCCTCCACCTTCCCTTTTGCTCCCCAAGACAGTAAACAATCTGATACAAGTTATACATGTATAATTATGTTAAACATATTTCCACATTAGTTATGTTGTGAAAGAAGAAACAAAACAAAAGGGAAAAACCACAATAAAGAAAAAAACAAAAAAAGTGAAAATAGTATGCTTCAATCTGCATTCTGACTCCATAGTTCTTTCTCTGGATGTGGTTAGCATTTTCCATCATGAATCTTTTGGAACTGTATTGCTGAAAAGAGCTAAGTATATCACAGTTGATTATTAAACAATGTTGCTGTTACCGTGTACAATATTCTCCTGGTTCTGCTCACTTCACTCAGCATCAGTTCATCCAAGTCTTTCCAGGTTTTTCTGAAATCTGCCTGGTTATCATTTCTTATAGAACAATAGTATTCCATTACATTCATATACCACAACTTGTTCAGCCATTCCCCAATTAATGAGGGCATCCCCTCAATTTCCAATTCTTTGTAACCACAGAAAGAGCAGCTATAAATATTTTTGTACATGTGGGTCCTTTCCTGTTTTTATGATCTCTTTGGGATACAGACCTAGAAGTAGTATTGCTGGGTCAAAGGCTATGCACAGTTTTATAGTTCCAAATTGTTCGCCAGAATGGAGAATCACAATCCACCAACAATGCATTAATGTTCCAATTTGCCCACATCTACAACATTCATCATTTTCCTTTTCTGTCACATTAACCAATCTGACAGGTGTGAGGTGGTACTGCAAGAGTTTTAATTTGCATTTCTCTAATCAACAGTGAAAAAGAGCATTTGAAAATGGCAACGTTTTGGGCAAAGATAAGTGATGAAGTCAATAAGCACTTAAGTGCCTACTATATTCCAGGCATTGTGCTAAGGAGGTGACTAATCCTGAGCAGCGGGACATTTGGACAATTTCTTTACTTTTATGTCTCTTTTCATCATAATCCTTGAGGCAAGCTGGTACTGAACCCACTAAGACTGAAACTACCTGAATCGAGTTATAGATCTCACTATATGTCCTTGAACAAGTGATTTAAACTGTCTGGGCCTCAATTTCCTCAACTGTAAAAAAAAAAAAAAAAAAAAAAAAAGGAGGGGGGGAGGAAGGGAAGGAAGGTTAGACCACATGAGCTCTGTGACAATCATGCATGAGTTTTGCAGAAGTTATGTTAGGATAACATAAGAAGGGGACGTTAAGTATAATTAAATAACTTTCTTCCTAATCTCTACATTAGTAAATTACTTACCTCTCTCAGCCTCACTTTATTCATCTGTAAAATAGAGATAATAATAGTACCAATAGTACCTACCTCCCAGGGTTGTGAGGATAAAATTAGATAATATATAGGAAGCGCTCTTCAAACCTTAAAATGCTCTATAAATGCCAGCTTAAATGATTGCATTTTCCATTATTAATTGACTCTGAATTTATAGTTTGAAATCAAAAGCCCTTTCCAGGAATTTGTTTAAACTTTAGAAAAGTAATGTCAAAATGCTTCTAGACAGATTATCTTGCAGCAGTTATTGGGTAGGGTGTAGGAATGGTCTATTCATCTTGACTTTTTAAACCAATTAGAGAAAAAGGTAGTAGCCTTTCTAGCAATGAGCTCCTTCCTCCTCACATAGTAGAAGAGAAAGAGGAAGCTACAAGCAATGGCTTCATGTTATAATGCATCTCAGATATGTAATTTTCAGAACTTTTTCTTAAAGGGCCTGTAACCATTATATGGAATTTGTTGTTCAATCATTTTTCAGTCTTGTCTGATTCTTTGTGACCCCATTTGGGGATTTCTTGGCAAAGATACTAGAGTGGTTTGCCATTTCTTTCTGCAACTCATTTTACAAATGAGGGAGCTGAGGCAAACAGGGTTAAGTGACTTGCCTAGGGCAAGTAGCTAGTAAGTACCTGAGGCTAGATTTGAACTCAGCAAGATGAATCTTCCTAACTCCAAGCCCAATGCTCTATTCACTGTACCACCTAGCTGCCCATTACACAGAACAGAACAATTTTAAAGAAAACATAATGTATATTTTAAAATCAGATTTCAACTGATTGTAGTGATCTTTTGAGAACATTCTAAGTATTTTATTTCATTGCATTGTCTTTGGAATCATCTGTGTTCAATGCAGGTGTCCATTTTATTTTTATTTTTGCTTTTATGCTAAACGTTTGTGAGCTATTAGGGAAACTTGGGCTACCTTGGTGTTCATTTTGATTTTAGACTTCACTCCTATGGGTCTAGAAAATAATAATAACAACAACCTTAGCTAGCATTTATATAGCACTTTAACATTTGCAAAGCTGTAATATGTTATTTTGTGATCCTCACTTGAAAAATACAAATTCAACGATTCTATTTAAAGCTATCAATATCCATTACATTTGATATTGATAGGACACAGTCATTTAAATATTATAATTTTTAATGGAAATTTTCATCTACTGTAGTAAGTTTTTATGTGAAACTCATTTATAATTCAACTTCAAATGTATCTCTTAACTATTTAAAAACAACTACAACATTGTTTTCTTACCCTTGGTAATTTTATAGACACTTTTTTGTGAAGACTAGAAATCTTTTAAAAACAGTCATCTAACCTTTCAGTATTCCCAGAAAGATGAAGATAGGCCTATTCTTACAAGGAAGAAAAGGCAGCCTATTTATTACTGGTGATTTGAGGCCACACCGGCCCAATCATCTCTCCAATCTAGAGCTGTCAAGAGTTTCTCTTTCCCTGACCTAAATCAAAAGACTCAACCATTAGAATTACTCCCTTGAAAGATAGTGTTGTGGAGTCTCGAATTCCAGTCCTACTTCTGTTGAAAGGTAGTTGTGTGACCTTGGGTAAGTTAGCTACACCTTTTTTGAGTCTTCATTTTAGCTTTAAGGTTCTATGATCTATGATTTATTGGGTTTAGCATTATTTAGCAGCAAAAAAACTCCAACCATTAGAAGTCCCTTCCAAAGCCCCATATCTCCACTGAACAAGAGAGCTGGTGGACAAATTTTATACCCTTAATGTTTCTACCCATTACTTCTCAAATCCCATTCTGTTGTGTAGATAAAGGCAAGAGTATCTGGCCTGCCTCTGAGCGGCTAGAAAAAAAAGAAAGGCATGAAAAAACAAACAACAGGGAAATCAGTTCACTGACCATCCTAACTGCCTGCTGTAATTGAAACATCCATGACTGACAGACATACCAGTGCACGCTCTTAAATATTCTCAAATAGATCCAAGCATTGTACAAATAAATATGGAAATTTACCTCGCCGGGAAAACTAGAAAGCAATCTGGCAGAAACTAGGTATAGACCAGTATCTTCCACCATTTACCATGGATACATGACCTAGACATAAAGGGAGATATCATAAGTAAATCAGAAGAACATGGAACATATTACCTATCAGATTTATAGATAGAAGAATTTATGAATAAATAAGAAATAGAGAGCTTTGTGGGAGGTAAAATAGATAATTTTAATTACATTAAATTTAAAAAGTTTTTATACAAATGTAACTAATGTAGCCAGGATTGGAAGAAAGCAGAAAATTTGGGAAAAATTTTTATTGATGGTTTCTCAGATAAAGGCCTCATAACACAAATATATAAAGAACTGAGTCAAATTTATAGGAATATGAATCGTTTCCCAATTGATAAATGGTCAAAGGATATAAACAAGCAGTTTTTGGAAGAAGAAATCAAAGCTACATATGGTCATATAAAATGTTCTAAATCATTATTGATTAGAGAAATGCAAATTATAACAACTTTGAAATATCATCTAACACCTATCAGACTGGCTAAAAGGATAAAAGAGGAAAATGACAAATGTTGGGGGGGATATGGAAAAATTGGGACACTAATACACTGTTAGTGGAACTGCAACCTGATCTAACCATTTTGGAGAGCAATCTGGAATTATGCCCAAAAAGTTATAAAACTGTGTATATTTTTTGAACCAGCCATAGCAATATTAGGTGTGTTTCCTAAGACGATCAGGGAAAAAGGGAAAGAGCCTATACGTTCTAAAACATATCAGCTCTCTTTGTGGCAGCAAAGAACTGGAAATTAAAGGGTTGCCCATCAATCAGAGAATGGCTGAATAAGTTGTGGTATATGATTGTGATGGAATACTACTGTGCTGTAAGAAATGATAAGCAGGTTGATTTTAGAAAAACTTTGAAAGACTTGCATGAAATAATGCAGAGTGAAATGAGCAGAATCAAGAGATCATATATAGTGACAGCGTATTGTTTGAAGAGTAACTGAATGACTAAGCTATTCTGAGTAATATGAATATTCAAATCAACTATGAAGGACTTATGAAGGAAAATGCTATCCACCTCCAGAGGAAAAACTGAAATATGAAATACATTGCATGGTTCCACATATATATCTATATCAAATGCTGGCCTTCTCTAATTCAGGGCTGGGAGGGAAGAAGGCAAACAATTCAGAATTCAAAATGTAACCAAAAAAAATATATATATATATATATTATATATATATACAATATATATATTATATATATATATATAATATATATATGTATGTATCTTTAATTACCTTAAAGCAGTATTAGCACTGACCCTCTTGCAAACAAACTTAAGCTGGACTGACCCTCAAAGCCCTTAAAAGGGACTGATTCCTTGGGGCCCAGATAGCAGCAGAAGCTGCTTGGGAAAGCTGGGGGATCATAAGCTGATCTTTAACCAGCAAATTACACATACCCTTTATGCATCCTCAAAGCAACATTTAAAGACAAATTCAGTTGAAGGGAAAGAAGAAACCTTAGGACACTGGCCCATGTTGAAGATAAGAAATTCTGGCTATTGAGGAATCTGTGGGGTAAGCTTTATTTTGGTAGCTTTCTAATTTAATTAGGTTAACTAAGTTCAGTTATTTCTAGCTTCTAAAAGCATATAAGCATTATCAGCACCCCCTAAATTTTGGTTCCTTGGGTTTAGAGTCCTTGTTGCTCTGTCTTAGTAATAGGTGTGACCCTAAGTATCCTCATATGCTCTTCATCAGGCAGTAGGACTTTGACAGCGGCTTTGAAGGCCTTTCACTGGAATGTTAATAAGGACAAACAGGTTGAAACTCAGTCTACTCCAAACAGCAATTTGAGAGTGTTTTGTAGGATTTTTGGGGAGACCTGCATTTGCACTAGTCCAGGTCAAGGGAGGAAATATCATTTACCTTTGTTACTTGTTGTCTCTAGAAATTCTTCCTCTATTGTAAAGAATGGTCACCCTTCATTCCCCCTCCATCTCTATTTCTAAATCTCCAGACTTCATCATTCTTCCTTATCCACTCTTCTCCCTTTTATGTGTTGTATCCCCCTATAGAATGTACACTTCTTGAGGTAGAGACCATCTTATTGCTTGCATTTGTATGCACAGTGCCTGGCACATAGCAAATGGTTAATAAATATTTGTTGATTTAATTTGTTGACTTCGTGCTAGGAGCATGACATCTAAGAAGACATTTACATGGCTTGCTTTTCCGAGAAGTCCAGTCTGAATCATATTTTAAGAAAAAATTAAAAAAAATAACCTCTGAATATAAACAAACAAACAAACAAGTAATGACATGAGAGAAATACCAAGTAAGAGTTCAGATGTGATCTTTGTTCTTGTTATAGGAGAAGTGATATGTTGTTGGCTGTGGTCTTCCTTTCCCATGATAATGAGATCTTATCTGATGGTTTAAAAAAATGACTTCGGTTTCTCCTTTGGACAACTCTCTGAAAATAAGTTAAATTAAGTTATCAGCATGAGCACATTAATCTTATTCTTGTTCTTCTGAAAAGCTCTGGCTTATTGAAAATCACATCAAGTCGTTTAGGGCATTATTCCATTTTCCAGTCCTTTTCCTGTTTTTCTGTTTCCTCTTTTGACATTTCAGGACCAAGTTAATTTTACTAAGGAGACAAGGCTTAAGATTGCTTTATTTTTCTGAAGAACACTCACCAATGATTTTCTGTGACATTTATCCGAATAATCTGAAAAGGATACTAGAATGCTGAAGCTTTCTCTGAAACTTCTAGCCCTGTCCTCATTTCACCTCTGCTTTTGAAGTAGATGAGAATGGAAGTAGAGAATAGGAAATAGGATCCTTGAGGTCTCCTAAAATGTCAGAAGAATATCCTGGCAAAGTAAATGACCTAGAGAGAAGCTAAGGACTACTATTGGTTTGTTTAAGGTTCACAGCAGGTGTTCAAAAGGCATCTGGGAGGGGGCAGCTAGGTGGCACAGTGGATAGAGCACTGGCCCTGAAGTCAGGAGGACCCGAGCTCAAATCTGGCCTCAGATCAAACACTTGACACTTATTAGCTGTGTGACCCTGGGCAAGTCACTTAACCCCAATTGCCTAAAAAAAAAAAAAAAGGCATCTGGCCCAGTTTCAAATAAGCTTATTCATTGCTGGCTGAAAGCCGAAGTCACAAGCTCCAGAAATCATTTATGCTTCATCCCTTCTGGAAAATGTACACGGTTTTTGTAGTGGGCATGGTACATCTGCTCCCTGACCTGACCCACTCCAGATTTCCTGCTCTTTCCCTAACTCTCCCCTTTTTTTAGTCTATGAAATTTAGACAGAACTCACATTTCTGTTTTGTTTTTTAATCTAATATTTTTGTATTGTTTTAATTCATTTAACCTTTTGCAAAAAAAAAAAAAGTATTGGTATGGATTAATTTTTAAGCAGTTTTGTAAACACTTCTGATTCCACATTTATTTACTATCAAACAAGGACTCTAGTTATTAAATCCCTCTGTTTCATCACTAGCTACCAGTCAATATACAAGTCTAGAAATGAGGTGGTAAATCTTAAACATAAAACAATGACCGCAAACAGTACCTAGAAAAGATAGCCCTTGCATTTCCCACTATGTTCTCAACATTGGACCTGGTACTTTGGGGGATACAGTCTTTCAGTCAGTCAATTACCATTTATTAAGTGCCTATTATGTGCAAGTCACTGTACTAAGCAGATATGAAGGAAGTATAAACCTAATGAAAGAGACAGTGGGAGTCACACATTATTTAACCTTCTTGATTTGAGTAGTGGGACTGGAATCAGGAAGACCTGAGTTCAAATCCAGCATCAGATATTACTAGCTACATGATCCTGGGCAAGTCATTTAACCTCTTTCTGTTTCAGTTTCCTCATCTGTAAAATGGGGATAATAGCAGCATTTACCTCCCAAGGTTGTTGTGAGGATCAAATAAGATATTTGTAAAGCTCTTAGAACAGTACCTTGCACAGAACAATACTTTAAATACTCATTTCCTTCCTTTCTTCCTTCCTTTGCCCTTTCGTCCTTCCCTCCTTTATCTTCCTTCTCTCCTACCCTCTCCCTATTCTTCTTTCCTTTTCTTCTTTTCTATTCTTCCTTCCTTCCCTCCCCCCTTTCTTTGCTCCCTCCTGTCTTCCTTCCTTTCCTTCTCTTTTCCTACCTAGAATGTTCAAATAAGAAGGAGAGGAAAGGATTTCTCTTGGCAAGTACAATAATAGCAGTAAGAAGTTGCTATAGATACCCTGATAGCCTGTTTCTAAGGAAGGAGTCAGAAAAACCATAAAAAGTGGACCCAAGAACCCCATCTGGGGCCATTTAATATAGGGGTAAATAATCCCATACAATTCAATAGACTCTGAGGATGTAACTCAATTACTCCACAGTAACAATTGATCATTATGATGACTCTGAGTCATAAAGAAAAGCTTCAATTATGCTCAGCATATTTGTTTGAGAAGAAAGTCTGTAATATATTTTAGCAAAAGATCTATCCAAAACAGTTAAGATTTAAAAAAAAAAAAAAAAAAGGAGAAGAAATCTGATGCCTAAATTGTCTAATAACAAATTTTTAGATTTGGCAATCTAAAAATGCTTGGCTATCCAGAAAATGACATATCTTTTTTTTTTTTTTGCACCTTTATTGTGCAAAACTTTGTTTTTCTCATTTATCTGTGTATGTACCATTATTGGATGATAAGATTCATCAGGACAGGAACAATACCTTATCCTGCCTTTTTTCTATCTTGGTGCTTGATACAAATGCTTATTTTCCTTAGTAAGTGCTTACCAAGTAAATTTACAGGAGATAGAGGAGGTTCTGCAAGTGAAATACCTTCTTTACAAACCATTACTAGGTCTTAGTAAACAAGAATGATTTACACCTTCAGTGTTTGTTCCAATTAATTTATGTTTTACTGTGCTTTGTAACCATTTTTATTAGAATCAGTGCTAGGGGAAAATCATGAAATACCACATTCGTTGGTTATAAAGTCCAAATATTGTACTATGATACGATAGCAATTCCCTGGTAATTCCAAGCAAAACATATTTTATATCTACCTGGCATGATTGGTTCTAAATAAAACCTCAGCATGAATGCTTTGTTGTCATTCCTTCTGATTTCCTGGATGCTTGTGTTATACCTATAAAACTTGAAATAAGCATTAACTGTATTCAAATAGTTGTGGACCTCAGAAGGAGGTCACTGGGCAGGGTCATTATCCCAAACCTAGTTTCCATTCTCTTATGTGGCTCACAGCATGAGCCTTGCAAGGCTACTTTCCAGCTCTTCCTCCTCTTAACCCACAAGGTCTGCTTTGTGTCCACTTTCCGGGGATGGTTTGCCTGCCTGGTGAACTTGCAGCCAGCTCACCTGGTCCCATTTCCTCCAATGTGTCAACTTAGCCATAATGGGCTTTGAGCATCTGACCTTTCCTTAACCCCAGCAACACTCACACTATACATAACAATATATACAGTTTCTTTTCATTTATCAAAGGCACAAGACTTGACAGCTCCAATTACAAGATAATTGTGATCCTTAAAAAGGGAGAGAGATGAGACAGATGGTGTACACTGGAGACATACAGTTTTTCTTTTTGAAAAATAGCTTCAGAAATTTTGTTGAGGAGAGTGACAGGAAGCTACGCAAATCATTCTTTTTTTTTTTTTTACATAAAATATTGCAGAACACAAGAAAATTATCGTAATCTTTGGGCTCTCATCAAGTGATTTCTGATTGATAGCCTGTAGAATACTGAAGACTGATAATTACCTGCTTTCTGGTTTTGGCTGGGAATCTCTAACTACTCATTCTAAACTATGTGGGAACATTATTTTTTTCCTTGAGATTATGATGGCAACACATGTTTTCTACATGGTTGAATTCAAGCTTAATGTTATAGCATCCACCATAAACACCAATTTAGTTAAACTTTTCAGGATTGTTCTATATAGTCACATAACAATTTACATGTGTGAATGCTTCATAAGAACTTTATTGGCTGACTTCCTTGGCAAAGCTCGTGTCTTGCTTATGAAGATGATAAAACTGTACTTTGATTCCGTGTGTGTGTGTGTGTGTGTGTGTGTGTGTGTTTTCAAATCTGCTCTTTTAAATTGGGTCAGGATGGAACTTTAACAACATTTACTATTTTCACATATCATGAAAAGGAATAACTTTTCTGCCTCTCTTCCTCATCTCACCTGACCCTCCAAACACACATCTCCCAGGATGGACAATGCACCATAAGTTCTAAGAAAAAGCACTAGATTTGGGCTGTAAATTGTTGCAAGTCAACTCTCAAGTTGAAAAAGAAACTTCCCCCTTCCCTCACCCCCCTTTTTTTCCCTTTAAAATAGTAAGGAAAAGTGATTGTAGAGACAAAGCGGAAGTCAAGTGTTGGATTTAGTCTAGTATAGCCAAAGATGGAGGCAGAAAGAAGTCTCACGGGATTATTGCTTCATATGATGATAATTATACTTAACGGGATGAATAAAAACACATTTTGGGTACAGAAAGGAGGAGAGAAGAAGGGCTAGTGAGAAAGAAAGGCCAAAAGAAAATTTAATGGGATTGTAATATATGAAGGGTGTGTATGCATTTGCCACATAGGTGTGTTTGGGTGTGATCAAGTTGACTTCATCTTCTGCCCAAGGCTATAATGAAAGGAAAACTGGGTTATGACTTTGGGAAGCTGGGCAAAATACATGCAGATGTTTTGCTTGTACTTTCTGGCTGGCTTGGTTAATGACAGCAAAGAATTTTCCCTCCAAGTTGGATTCTAAAAGAAGTTTGAAAATGACTAGACAATTTTTAGTTTATAAAGGAGAGTTGTCTAGAAGGATGAATTTAATTTCCTGGAGACAATTGGATAGATTGATATTTAACTACTCCACTTAGGAATAAGGAAACAAGGAAAGAAGGAGGGAGGGGAGGGAGGAAGGAAGGAAAGAAGGAAATAAACATTTATTAAGCATCTACTATATGCCAGGCACTGTGCTAAGCACTTTCCAAATACTATCTCATTTAGTCCTTGAAATAGCGAGGTGGGGGTGTTATTATTATTTCCATTTTACAGACAAGGGTTTTTTGTTTCGTTTTGTTTTAGTGACTTGTCCAGAGTCCCTGCTAGTTAGTATCTGAGGCCAAATTTGAATTCAGGTCTTCTTGACTCTAGAGGTTAGAGTGAAATCTGGCTATACATTCCATGATTGATGGGATCAGAAAGGGTTCATGATTTTTATTTTGTTTTGTTTTAAAAGGTCCTGCCCCGGAGAAAGTATGTTTCAGAATGGGCCAGGATAAAAGCAGAGGGTCACTATATTTTTGAGGGCCACAGTTTCATTATTTGTAAAATAAAAGATTGGATTTAAAAGGTCCTTTCTAGCTCTGAATCCTAGGAGTCTACAAGTTTATTTGGAGACAGAGTTGGACCCTACATTTA